ATGGCTGAGTCGAATGAGGGTTAGCTCGGGATTGATGGGTTCCATAAGGGACCCAAGGACACTAACAATGATGATGTCTTCTTAGATAGATGATCTATAGATGAACACCTACAAAATCAAATATCTCCACAGTCAGTAATTCAGACAAATACCAATGACTGATAATGTGGTTGTTCGTGAGTGGCCTATCAAAATATCCAAGCTATGGTCAGACAAAGGTACTCTATGGAATCAGTATAGAAACACTAGTCAACCCAGCGAGATGGTGTTGACAAAAAGAAACAAGAAACAGAAACAAAAACTGAGACTAAGCACAATCAATGGTGCTATATTCTAAACTTACTATGAAAAGTCGTGTAAAGCTGTATTGGTCACTCCCACAGTGCAAACAGGTAGGATCAAAGGTCAAGACTTGTCAAAAGCTTCTGTAGAACTCTTAGCCTAATATTGAATCTGCTGCCAAGGAACTCATAATGAGTATTAAACAGAATCAGAAATGGATGTCCTTAGATTTTAATACCAAGTTCCCTATTCAATAGCTAAAGCCTATCTAACAAATAACAGTCCTGGCTCAGTATACTACTCAGATGTGTGAGGTTAAGCATACAATAATTAACTTCTGAAGTCTCCCCACTAAGCTACTCTGAGCCTTTAGCAGATGTAGAGACAACATGAAGATTCCAGGTATAAGGCTCAAATGTATTCACTAAAATCAAGAATGCATTAGTAACAACAGCAAGAAACAAATGCTTAGAGTATATTCGCTAAGATCTATAACACATTAGTAACACAACAATAATTGAGCACTCAAACTGTTAGCCTTCAATGGGTAGAGAGAGTGAAACAGATTCCAAACTAAAGAAACAGATAGAGTGAAACAGAGATAAGGAAATAGATACTAAAATGAAATAGATCCTGAACTAGAGAAACAGAGATAAAAAGAAATAGATCCCAAGCCTAGAAAAAAAACAGATAGAGAGATAGAGACAGACACACACATACACACACACACACACACACAAACACTTAGAAAAACAAGAGACTTCTCAAACAAATAAAAGAAAATCAACCAGACCTTACAGGTTGTTGAGCACAGTGAGCTCAATGACTCCTATGGTCTCATCAATGTTCCTGAAAATCTCGAACAGCTCTTTGCTGTTGTTGCTGATGCTGATCACACACAAACCTCACTCGCAATTTTATTAAGGTAATTCTGAGGAATCTGATTGATTTTTTTCAGGCCAAAATGGAGGTCCTTATATAGACAAATCTATGTGGCTATGCTAATTTATTCTTACATACCTAGGTATATTCAATTTTTGTTTTCTCATATATCTAGATATACTGCATCATTTGTCATAGATCATAAAACTTGTGTGAATCATACATAGGTGACATAATTTGTCAGGCTTAGTCATAGATCAGCTAACTGTGGTAAGAGAACATGGTTTATATAATGTGTTGAAACTTGTTTGTATTTGGTGTTGTTTAGAGATGTAGTATGTGACATAGGACAAAACCAAGTAACATGTGTATTTAAAGTTTCCTGGAAGTTCCCACAAACAAACATATGTGGGAAATATTTTTCATGGATACTTCAGATGCGTGAGAATCTGGCTGAGTCATCTTTGAGCCAAATAACACAAAATTCATTTCATGCAAAATTTTTGAAAAATATTCACTAGCACCGCTCAGTCATGCACCAGACCAATTTGGTGCAGGTCATCTAGTGGAAAGTGAGAAATCAATTGTCCCCGATTGTGGCTGGTCAGGGGTGTATGGGTTTTAAGGATTTTCTAGCTTATTTGCAGCATTCAAAAAAAAATGAGTATGAAGACATAGAGCGCAATGATATATTTAGTGTACAATATGTGATTGAGAATGGACATGAGTGGTTATAAAATAACACACTGAATTGAGGATACTGTGATACGTGGGCTGTGCAATGCAGTATGTGTTATCAAACCAGAGTCCTTTGCAAACTGAATCAACTAACTACTATGAAATAAAAGAAAGGATTTATTTGCCAAAATATGACATAGGTATGGGACCTAGACTTCTAACAAGACTTAACAAGTTATCATAGCACTGGTCCTGAGAATTATGTACCAATAATTTACCACCAAGTTCCTCCACACTATTTCCAAAGCTCTCTAATCCTTCTATCTCTTGGTGCAACTCCTTTAATGACTGCATAAGTTGTGCAGAAGTAAGGGGATGAAATTCCTTGAGTCCTTGGGTATGCTTTTGAGCCATCACATAAAGCGAATACATCAAGGAAGTTGGATAAGGCCAGTAGGTAGGGTGAGCTGGACATGTGGATGGGGAAGTGGTGTATTCTCATAGTGGGCGACTATTTGAGAAATGTGTCCAGTGAACTGTCGGTGGCAAGGGGATAAATCTTTCAAGCGAACAATTCTGTTGAAAATGATAGGGGCACAGTAGCTATGACATTGAATGTGGTCAATGATCACTTGTCTATCATCTTGGAATATGGAAGTCTTTGTATTTCTATCATTATCACACTCTCTGATGGTAGCATGCCACTTTTGGCCAACTCTCTGCATAGATGCAATAGTGTATGAGATATCTCGGTGAGGGCATTGTTTGTCTGAAGTGTGTAGTGCACATTTGCGACCAATTGGGAATAGTTAAAGGCATGGTATATTGCCAAAACTTTGTTGTCTTCTGTGTTGACAACACCAAAGTTGACTTTTGAAATATTGACTAACATAGTGCTCATGATCTGCCTCCAGTCCCTCATGTCTATCACTTACCCTATATAGCACAATATAATGTTAGACAAAGACTGAGAGAACTCATTAGTGTCCATAGGGGAACTGTCCTGCACAAAGATATACAACAAGTGAGCCTTAGATTTTTCCATTCACATAACAAAAGTAGAGAGGATGGTGGCCACAGGATATATGACACCAAGAATGACCAACAAAAGGTACAAACAGGCATGAGACAGACAATGAGCAATCAGCTTCCTATGTTGTTGGATACTTGCAGTCTTGATGTATGTTGTAGATATGGTAACAAGTCTGTTCAATACAAACAAATGTCGCTGCCTCTGACCATCAATATTGAATTTAAAGTGATTGCATTATTTTTATACCACACTATTTCCCTTACCTACCAGCTCATATCTGAAGGATCAACATAGGTACACTACCACACTTTGTATCTTTGCATGCACATATTATGCATATACTCCTACTTTAATAGGTTTCTTGCAGGCCACCACTTCTCAGTCCAACTATCTATCTCATGTCCTCACTAGTTCACTAGTGTGTTTTTCCTTTTGATTGTATTGAATTGACATACACTTGGTCTAACTTGCATGTCATAGGAATGGGCCTGGTGCTAAGCTCAGAACCACCAATTTTCACACTTATGTTAATAGCACATATCCAATACACTTGCACATATATCTGAGCCATTCTACATTGGACCTGATGCATCAGAAATTTGAACATCACATTGGCCAATTGAACTTCACACACATCCATCCTACTCATGTCCTGTCCTATCATACTAGGCGCACTAAATGTGTAGTTACTTATTTTCACATATCTGATACTTTGAACTACATTATTACATGTTTGCAGCACCTTTTATATACAATATTGATGTGGCAAAACAACTATTGGAATAGACTATGTCAGTTGTTTAGAAACTAAAGCTAGCATGATAGAATAAATTGGTTTCTTTTAATATATTTAAGTTAATTATAAATAAGATTAGAAGGAATAGGCCACACAATTTATTACAAAGTTTAAACAACTTATCTACTAGTAGTAGTCATAATGACAAAACTCATATCTTTGGAAATTGCTAAGTTTAAATTCATTACTATAAATATTACCTTAGCTTAATCAAAAACTCTTTTGCTACCAATATTTTATTACTCTCTAGTTTAACTATTTATCACTTGTAATATATATTTTAAGAAACTCTGAATGCATTTCTTGTATGATATAGAATAAGCAATGTATCGGGATTGATAGAGCTACATGTGAGCAATGCTTTAGTCATTACTTTTTCACAGGAGGTAGGGCATTCTTATGCTTAGATATTATGTTCAATACAATAATCTAACATTATAGGACTATGACTAGATTTCTTAGATGTCAATATATCACCATACAGTTAAAGAGACCCTGACTGTCATTATTTATAGTCTAAGAGGGAGAAGTTTGCCTTGTCTATCGGTTTCTGTACTATCATGATGAGTGACTATGACTAAAGTTAAGTATTCCAAATTGATGTTGATATAACTTTCAGAATGATCAAGAAGTTGAGTGTTATGTGAGGCAAAACAATGGATCATGGCTAATTCAAAAATTAGGACACACTTTCTCAAACATCATTTGCCAAGGTGGCCAGATTGTTGAGTACTTTTCTGATAATTGTAATGAGATTACTAATCTATAAAATATAGAAGCAATCACAGTCAGAAAATGAGATCTTCTGGAAGTGTACATGGCTGTCTCTATAGATATGACAGATAAAAGTAGCTCTCAAATCCAGGTAGTTGTTTGGTATTTACAGACATCTGTCAAAGTTGCCTGAATATTGGCTGGAATATTTTCTATCTGTTTTCCCAATTTTTACATAAAGTACCGCCAAAAGTGGTGTTGTGAAGTGCCTTCGAAAGATCTGCAACAATATATGCAGACTTACAAGGCCATCAAAGTCGAGAGGTAAGTGGCGTCTTCGCATGGTAGACGTTCTTAACCTGCGCAGAGTTGTAAGCATCCCGATGAGGGCGGGCACAGACTATAGGGGTATGTGTTTCTTGCAGGACTTTACAGCATTGATGATAATGTCAGAACTTGGGGAAGGTCTTTACAGCCAAATCGATCAGAACAGTTATTTTCAAGCTACTGTCACCAATGTTTACCCAAGCGCAAAGCAATCCTGTGCGCTCAATCCTTATGTGCATCATTGATTGCACTACAGTGCACCTAACCAAATAAGCATGAATCTTGCAGTGCAAACACATCCTCACTGTGCGCAAACTTGCTCGGTCACAAGGCTTTCCCAACAAGTTTGTGTTCCATGCGGAAAATGACAATGTCATGACGGTCTGTGCTAAACCCTCCCCCCCTGTCCATTAGTACTGCATGCTGATCCAAAAACATAGATGCACAGGCAGATTGGTAATGCCGTACCATGGCCAGTTGCAATGGCGATCGGCCGTGAGCTAAAGAAAGTGCTGGTGAAGAAGTGGTTGAAAGATTGCGAAAATGCCATAGTGGTTGACTGACACTATAGAAAGGACAGGTTATATAATTTCAGTGGATACTAGACTTAGATAAATTTGGTGGATTATGCACCAATATTCTGTATACCAGAAATCCACTGATCTGGCATGCGTCTGTTATATGATATCAGTGGATTCCAGCTGTGTACCCCGGTCTGGGTCCAAAATACATGACATATGCGAGCAATATTACTATACAGTGCACAATATAATATCTGTAATAGAGGGTATGAGTCATGCATGTTTCTGTGAGAAGTTTTGATGTACAGCGGCATCGTCATGACAGCCTGCAAATTTGGAAGGTCCGAGCGCAGGTTTGCAAGCAAGATTCGCACTACATACATGCCATTAGTATATCATAGTGAGTAAGGGACAGGTGCTCACCAGGCATGCAGTGAGATTTCAGTACTACTAGGGACACACAAGTGCAAAACCATGTTGAAGTGCTCGGTCCGTGCTTAATCTTCACTAACACTTCATCAGGGAAAACCTCCTGCAGAAATTCTGAAAATTTGACAACATTTTCTTGAAATTCGCTTTAGACTTTCATGAAAATTTCAAAAGTTGTCAACAAGCTTAGTGAATAGTTGCGTATGTGTGACGATCAGTGAATGGACTAACAAAGAAGTCTCTACAGAGCTCCAAAACATTGCTACTAGTCCAATCCCGAGGCACAACATGGCCAAATTTTGGTATTAGATGTATGCTGTGCCGAATATCTTTCACAGATATCACACTAACTAACCATTCCCCATATTTGTACGATCGCGAGACCTTGTGCATACCATGATTTCTCTCGCTTGTTCCAGTGAATGGCAAAAACCACTCGACATAGGTCAAGTGTTTGGGAATTGAGATATGGGAGGGGAAAAGGCTGGCGTGATGTTTCTCCTGGCCCTTGGCTAGGTAGGGCAATTTTTTCAAACTTCAAGTATACATGCACACTGATGGCTTGAATGCTAGTCCTTGTGCTATATTTTCTATAAGATTTTTTACTATGAGTGAAGCATACTTTCCTGACTTAGAAGCTAAATTGTTGTAGGTAACTTTCTTACTGACTTAGAAGAACTGACTAATTTAATTCACGGATACCTTCCAGAAGACATTTCAATATTCATGTCTGGGGCATTATACCATAGAGTGAAGCAATGACACTTAGCCCTCATTCCAAAATAAATATCTGAGAAAAGTATTTCAATAGGACAGGTAAGCACTGTTCTTTTCTCCTTCCAAATAAGCTTAGACTTCTTGAAGGGAAAATTGCTTTTTTGGGTTCAAATAACTATGGGAGGAAAAGTTTGCAATGTCATGAACTTTGACCATAAAAAAGCCAAGAAGGCAAGGGTATATAGAAGAAAACAAAAGAGAAATTGACACTAGTGTGATTGAACTTTTGGATTATAGCTACCATGTACTTTACCAACTACCTTATATCCTTTGATACCTATAATATATACAGTTCCCATGCTACCAAGCTTCTTAGTATCATATTTTCAAAGAAGTTGGTTGTTGAAGTGACTGGAGCATTAGTGGTTGAAGTAGTTGTGACTGGTAGTTGAAACCTCAAATAAACTCATTACTAATCTTCCCACCACCTCTTAATTCTAAATCAATGAAACACTTTATGAAAGCAAAACTATTGTCATCTATAAAGTTAGTAAACCTACATCTATGAAGCTTAATGTGCACTATTTAGAATTTGAGTATGATATATCTTCTAAAATGAGTACAGTAAGATATTCACTATTCTTCCATATTCTTATTTATTCTTTTGAAAAGATATAAAAATGTATCTAAAGAATTTTTGTGACCATACCAGAAAGAAACTATTCAACAATTTTTAGATGATGCAGAAAACCCATCCAAGATCCAATGTGTTCTGAATCTTCCATTTAATCATAAAGGTCTGTCAAAAGACTTGATGTGAGTGGTATCTCCATGTTATTCTAGGAATAAATCATCTATAATATTTAACCTCTAGGCTTCTCAATTATGGTATCATTCATGGATGGAACCAATCTACTGTTAACTGTCAGCTGAAGTCAATGTTCATCCAGATAACTTCACTAGTAAGTTCTGGGCTTTACTTCATCATGTGGGGTTTGTTATATACTCACATTCTGACTTGAACAGGCGTATAATATTTGTCTAAGTCAAAAATAGTTCAAAACATTGGGCCCTCATTTGGTCAAAGAAAGATAACCTTTCTCATATAGCACTAATGAAGTTAGCTGAACTGTTAACTGACATTTCCAAGAATTCCAAGGAAATTGATGCTAATTGATATAGAAAAGTGATTACACTTTTGCTCTTGTCTTTTATTTCTTGTCTGATTTAAGTTATCATGTGAAGAATATCTTTGCATCACATTTCAGAGCATGGTCCAGCAGGCTCTAGTACAATTCTGGTTCTGGTAGCTTCTAACATGACCTCCTGATATTGTGCAGGATCCTCAGACAATCTTCCTCATAATCCAAAGATCTCTTGTTTCACTGTCTAGCTATGTCAATCTAGATTAGTAAGATTAGTCTATGCTATAACTTTCTAAAATGTAGTATCAGACTTACTCTATGTTTGAGGATCATCCACAGGCATATTCATCATATAAAATTTATAATGAGGATTTACAGATTCACAGTAATACATATAGATCAGGAAGGAGTCTAGGGTAGGTGACACTCACTATGTATTCTGCACTTCAGACTGGTTATATAGACATCTATTGTGGACCTTCTCAATGAACTCTTTCTTTATTTTGCTCAGCACTAATAGTTCACTTCCAAAGGCCTCATATTCGACCTTCAGCATATTCCAATGACCTGAAGGTCCAAGACACTATAGTAGTTTTGGAAAAAAAATAATAATATGGTGAAAAACCTTAGATCAATTTGATAATAAGTAGAAATTATGATAGTGAGTTCATGGTTATGAAAAAACTAATAGGATCCATTGTTTGATATGAATTTCTTAAGATAATATATTGGAATTAGATCAAAGTCTGAATGAACTGGAGTTAAATCATTCCACCACTTGTCAAAATATTAAAGATTGAAGTGATGTTTGATAGTACTAGCAGAGGCTCAGTATAGTTGCAAGAACAAATACTGAGATTCAATCAAAAGACGAGCAAGATACAAATATCTGCGAGGATGATTATGTAATGAGACTGGAGGATTAATCTATGGAGAAAAGAAGCATTTTAGTATTGCATGGTATGAAGGTGCAAGATAGCAAGATAGGCAGAAGAGGTAAGAGATTCAACATATCGGCACTTGATGCCAACACACCCCCTCACTGAGGTACCAGCTGGAGTTCAGTTGACTGCTTGAGAAACAAGGGCCATGACAGAGCCTTGGTCAGGATGTCCGCAATGTTCTTATATGAGGGCAGCCAGTAAGGAAGGAAGAGACCATACTCAACATACTTGCAGATGAAGTGGTAGCAGATATCAATGTGTCTGGAGTGGATGTGATTCTTGCTTGGCCTCTTTGAATAAGGAAATCGCACTGGTGTTATCTATGAAAAGGATGATTGGGAGAGTGAAGGGGATATGAAGCTCGGTGAAGAGTGATTTGAGCCAGATACCTTCCTGTAAAGCATGGGTAACCACCATGTATTCTGCTTCTGTGGAGGAGAGTGCATGTATGTTTTGCTTTTTCGACACATGTGCAATGAGACCTTTGGCAAAGAACCAAGCATACCTGGAGATGGAGAGACGGTCATGTGATGACCCTGCCTAATTAGCATCATAATAGCCATGCAGCTCATCATTGACATGGGCACCCCCACAGTGAGAATGTAAATTCATGGTGCCACTGATGTAATAGAGGAGTCATTTAGTGGCTGCATACAAGTGTGGGGAGGGTTGTGCACGGTGTTGAGCCAGGGAGTTGACAGCAAATGCAATATCTGCTTGAGTGCAAATAGCTAGGTAGAGTAGCTCACTGACCACTTTGCGGTAGCGAGTGGGGAGGTTAGGGATTTTGTTGTAAGTGTCTGTATTGCATCCGAAGGGGTATTTTGGGTCGAGAGGAAGTTGCACAGGATGGCAGTTGAAACGACAGTGTTCAAACTGGATTCCAAGGAATTTTTGAATTGGACCTAGGTCCTTAATCCTGAAAAGCTGAGTGATGCATTCTTTTACATGAGCAAGAAAGGACTTGGAATTTGAGGTCCCCATTCCATCGTCGACATGCCAACTGACAATGCAAAAGATATGACCACTGGAGTCAGAGGTCTTATCATAAATAAAGATAGCATGATTGACTGTACAGTGAGAGAAACTGAGCTCAGTCGTAACAGCACATACTTGTTCATATCATTCTATGGAAAACTGTTTTAGTCCATAAATGGTGCAGAGCATAAGCCAAACCATCAATGCCCAGTCTCCCTCCTCAAACCCTTTTGGCTAATGCATGTATATTTCCTCCTTCAAAATTCTCCACAAGAATACATATTGTGCATCAAACATGTTGAGTTCTTAGTTGTTGTGACATGCAAGAGCTGTGATGAGGCAGACAGAGGCTGTTTTGATGACAGGTATGAAGGCAATGCCTGGAACTTGAGAGAATCCTTAAGCGAACAGATGTGCTTTATACACAGGACCTCCTTTATTGTCCCCTCTAAATTTCAGTACCCATTGGTTTCCTATCACCTTGCATCCTTCAGGTAGCCTCATCACCTTGTAAACCCCCATCTCCTTCATAGTGGTCAGTTTTATTTGTATGGCAGCAAGCCAGTGTGCATAGTTGGTCCATTTCATTGCCTCTTCATAAGTTGCAGGTGGGATTGCCATATCATAGTCTGCATTGTGTGGGTCTCACTTACAATTGCTATGTAGCACTATGTTGGCCTGCTCTTTGATACACGCATTGGCCGTGACCTTGGGTATGTCTGTATTTGGATCCACATTTGTAAGTTCTGCACTGTTAACATCTGGACTCACCCCCTCACCAGAAGGCAGTGACACCTCCTCAATTTGTGCAATACATCCAGCACATGCTTCATGTAGTGCCTGGAGGCATGCAATCTCAGCAGCAAATGCCTTCTCAGCTGGGGTGCAAACTTGTGAGCAAGCAGAATATCAAGGTGGTGAAGGAGCAAGGGCTGGTGGAGCAGGAAGAGGGGTGGAGGCTGAGGATAGTGCCAGTACAGCAGGGGGGGCAGTAAGAGTCGGTGTGCCAGAATCAGAATCAGAGTCACTGTCAGGGAGAGCTAACAAAGGGAGGTTCTCATTATAGAAAGCTGATTCCTGCTCGGCTCAGCAGAAATAGTACTACCTAGACAATAATATTTAGGTAGATCTTTAGCATGACCTATGCTGCTATACTTGCAAGGTAAGTGCGTTTGATCCTGTAGGGGTAGCTGTTTGGTATTAGTTTAGATAGTTAGTTATCAATAATAGAAAGATAATCCAAAGCTAGGAGCTACTTGTCTGAAGGGAAACTGTCGGGTCCAAAAATATTGGAGTCAGGTTGGGCATCAGACTATGCATTGGACTGTTGGGAATGTGTCAGATGATGAAGGAATGTGTCAGAAGTGTGTCGGAATGTCAGTCAAATAAGTGTTGGATGTATTGGAATGTTTTGGAAGAAAAGAGCAGATAGATATTTCACAATACAATCAAGTACTACTAATATTCAATAACTTCCATCTTACTACTGAGTAGGAAAAAGTAAGTAATGTAATAAGTAGGAAGTACTAGATATTATATAATGACTATGTAGAAATTTGGAGTGCTATAGGCGAGAGTAGTAGCAATATTTTGGATCTGAAATCCTATGTAATAGGACATGTGGTACTGTGGAGTATAAGAAAACATGTAATAATGCTGTATACAATGCTTAGCAAGTCAAAATGAGTAAATGCACACCTAGTGGAGATAGATGTGACTGGACAGGACATAGGGAGGACTGGTCCGATGCACGGGAATGTTGGGTCGGAATTAGACATGTGTTGGACTGTTGGAAAGTGCGTCGGGTCGGGATCAGACATGTGTCAGACTGTCAAACTTGGATTGGGGTAGTTGGAAGTGTGTCGGACAAATACTGTTTGACACCAGTATCAAAATAGCTGGTTCTGAGCCTAGTGCCACGACCATCGTTACATTGTCAAAGATGACATCGCGGGTGATGAAGAAGGTGCCTGTGTCCTTGTCTTGGAGATGATAGCCTTTTGTACCCTCCGGATACCCTACAAAGATGGCATGACAGGAATGAGGGCCAAGTTTGACCTGAAGTTTGGAGGGAATGCGTGTAAAGCAACACATGCTGAACACCTGCAGGTGGGACAAGTCAGGCTTATGGCCATTGAGAATCTTATATGGCATCAGACCCAGCTTCAAGGTGGATGACTCACTGTGGTTCCAGAGGTAACAAACAGTGAGAGCCACCTCACCCCAGAGAGTCTCAGGAAGACCAGCAGTTTGAAGCATAACAAGGATATGTCCTTGAATGGTGCAAATTGCACGTTCAGTCTTGCCGTTTTGCTGATAAGCGTATGGTGAGGACAGCTGGTGTTCAATTCCCGCTGCTAAAAGGGACTGAGTGAAGGATGCACTTATAAACTCCCCACCATTGTCAGAGCAAAAGACCATCACCCTGTGCCCAGACTGGTTTTCCCAATGCTTGCAGATAATGTCCCAGGTCTCCAGTGCCTGATCTTTGGTTGCAAGAAGCTGCAGGTTAAGAAGGTTGCTATGATTGTCGAGGAATATAATGAAATAATGTTTTCCGTGAGGCATTGTAATGGAGAAAGGACTGCAGAGGTCTGAGTGTATCAGGTCAAGAATGCTAGATACCTTTGGGGAGGAGGAGGTAGGATAGGCTTTACGCGGATGTTGGCCATGATACATGGCTTATAGGTGTGTAAGGGCTGGAAGGTGTCAACTTTGGTGCCAGTGGAAAAATGACTTTGTTTTACAGCCTCACTGCTGGGATGACCAAGTCTGGCATGCCATAAGTTCTATGTGAGTGGGACTCTGGCAAATGCTGAGATTCTGATGTGAGGCACCAGTGCAGAAGGTAGGACAAATTGTAGGTCCAGAAACACCAAGTTTCCCACCATGGGTGCGTCCCCCAGCTTCTCACCTTGATAGACAAGTCAGCATCACAGTGGGTTCAGTAGAAAGTGACACTTCCATCCTTTTGTTATCATCCTGCCTATGGACAACAAATTAATCATAGCTCCTGGCGCATGGAGGCAGTTGTTCAGATGGATCTGCTGTTTTCGTCCACCAATGGTAAGGTCTACAACACAATCTCCACAGCCAGATATAACTAACTTGCTATGATTCGCCATTTTCACAGTAACCTGGGCACTCACATTGTAGGTCCAGAAATATCTCTTGTCCATGATGAGGGTTGATGTTGTTTCCGAATCTAGGATGGTTGAGAATGCCTGGCCTGCAATACAGGTGAGGTTTTCGTCCTTTGGCATCGACTCAGACATAGTCCCAATCTCCTCAATGCTGGCATATAACCAGTCTTGATGATGTAATGGCATAGTAATAGCAAGGGCTATTTCAGTGGAAGGTGTGGGAGCAATGGTGTTGGACTCAGTAGCAACTGCAGATACATCTTTCTTCTTATTTTCTCCTTTGTCACTGCGCTGATTCCATGGAGCTTTGTTCTCCATTCCACCACTGGGCTGCAGACAGTGGTCTCTGTCATGTGTCAACAATCTGGGTAGACCGTTGCATACTGGGTTCTCACAGACCACCCCCTTGAGGTTGTTCCTGTGGATCTATATATCAGTTGCTGGGTTAATGTTGCATTGCTTGTTTGATTGGGTTGGAAGGTTTGTGGCCACATTTGCATATTCTGATTTAGGGTGAGCATTGATCTTTTGCTTTCCACTCTAAAGATTTACTTCTTCAGTGAAAGAGGCGACTACCTCCTCAAAGGTGAGCTTTGACAAGGTGTTGGATGATGAGGGAGTGATTTTATAGGTGTTCATAGTCAGAGTGCAGAAAACAACCCATTGTGGGGTGTTGGGAAGGCCATTGAGAAGCATAAAGATGCTCTCCTCGTCAGTGAAGGTCACTCCCATTTCCACAAATCTACAACACCTATTTTTGAAGGCTCCAAGGTATCGTGCAGCATTGTCAGCATTCTTTAATCTTTCTGAAAAAAACCTTGCACGAAGTTCATACTGGGAGGTAATATCAAGGCAAGCAAAGCATTTTAATAACATTTCTCATTGCTGACGAGCTGTTAGCTTTTTGCTAAGCATACTTTGGACAACAGAGAAAGCATTTGACCGATGATGGCCTTGGTTTGTGTGTCCTTCCTTATCCATTCTTTCATGCTGGTTCTCTCTATTGCTGTAGGTGTGGGACAGCAGGTATGGGCATTATATTGGTGTATTTAGCTAGGTCAAGGGGATATGTTCCGCTACTACAGTGTGTCCAGAGTCTCTCTCCTGCTAACACTAATTCTATGGCTCATCACCAGATAGGAAAATTCTCTGAGCCTGTTAGCTCTGAGATATGATTGAATTTTCACATCATATACAGATCTGTTGTTCAATTCATTAAATGAACATGAGTGTCCTGTTGCTTAGTATTGTCGTCGTCTGAGCTGATTTAGAGCTCAAGGCTCATAACCTGATAGTACTAGCAGAGGCTTAGTATAGTTGCAAGAACAAATACTGAGGTTCAATCAAGAGATGAGCAAGATACAAATATCTGCAAGGATGATTATGTAATGAGACCAGAGGATTAACCTGCATAGAAAAGAAGACAAGAAGCATTTAAGTATCACATGGTACAAAGGTACAAGATAGCAAGATAAGACAGGAGAGGTAAGAGATTCAATATATCGGCTCTCAATGCCAACAGTTTGGTGCAGGTCAATGATGCACTCCGTAGATCCTGATATGCCTGGAATGAGAGACTGAGCCTTAACATATCCTCCATTTCAGAGGAATGATATAGAAACCTATATATTAGCCAAAGGACAAGTGGGAACAATGGTGAGGAGCTGCCTGGAGATCTTAGCAGTAGTCCATGAAGCTTGCATGATAGTAATGTTGATTGAAGCATGAGAAACATTGTTGAGAAACAGTCCTGTTGAATGAAATATGGTGATAGAAGAAATGTGAGCTGTATGAAGGATAGTGACAAAAAGATCGCCAACAAAGAATGAATTTTGATCCGTGATGTGCCCTGCATGCATGTCGATCTGCTTGTTGACTTTGGTGTAGCCATGCATACATTCAAGTTGATTGAATGATTTGGACTCAAAGTCCTTGTTAATCACAAGGTGGCATATGGTCTGCTTATGAATCCAGCAAGCTTTGTAGAATAAGTAGTCATCTGTGTGAATGCCTTAACCTTGGAGTGGCACAGGAGCAAATACATCTGTCGGTGAGACAAGGGGTTGAGAGGATATGTCAGAACCAGATCCCACAACCAGCATCTCTTTAAATGTCAACATAAGTTCATCACCATCATCTTCATCAATGCCCAGCCCCTGAATTTCAATACTACTCTCATCAACTGGTGACCACAGCAACACTGTTTCCAAGACCTGTGATGGCAGAGAAATAGGTGCAGTAGGTAGGGTTTTGGGCACTCAACTGAAGTCCTCCCGCTCATCATCTGCGATGCTGAAGTATTTATCTATACCCAGAGAATGTAAGATGTCCATTCTGGGATCATGGAAGAGCTCAGTGTAAGCATAGTTGATGTGATCAATCTGAGAAGAAGCCAGAATAGCTACCGCCATCTCACAACCTTGTTGCCATGCTGATGGAAAATCACAGCAGCCACTAATAATATCACCCTTCCACATCAGCTGGTTGATGTGATTGATGTCCTCAATCTGCTTGCCAAGGCTGAGGTGCTGGTGATTAGGGTCGAGTTCAGGATGCCGCTTGAACAGTGTCGATGTCCTTTACAGCACCTAGATGATCAAGAGCCTAAGCATACGAACAGCCTAAATTATATCCCCCAATCATATGGGATCAACTGAATATAAGTTCAAGTCGATCATCTCTGCAATCTCCGAGGAAGAATGATGCGTATGGATCAAGAATTTGCTGCCTTGCGATATTAAACATGATACTCTTGAACAATGTTTAAGTGTCATAGTAGAGCTGGAAAGGCATTAATAGACAACAGTGAACATGGAAAATGGAGAACCCAGGTGAGCATAGCAGCTAAGAGACTGAACTTGTTCTGTGAGGGAGAGCTTCATATTGATGAAAGGGATGAAAATGAACTCAATCAAATTGCTGAGGAGAGTGATTGAAACTAAGTCTGTATGTGTGTGTGTTGATGTCAGTTGAAAATGAGTTATTAAGGAGGGAGTGCTGAAACTTAGAGAACTCAACTATAGCCTGCATCAACTCAATGACCCAGGGGACGTCTTGTGGATCATCGGGGTGCAGGAGTTTCATAACACTGGCTTCATCATACATGGGCAACCAAATAAGGTACCTTGAAAGCATCATAGCATTGAAGATGAGGAATCTAAATTGTGTGGAAAGTTGTGCTAAACTAAGCAAATACAGCTAGACCCAGGCGTGAGTGAAATCATTGTCCCAAGGGCAGCTAACTGAGTAAAGGGAAACCTCTCTTATAAAAAGAGGGACACCAAACAACTAATAGAGTGATAAGACTAATGGACATGCAAAGCATGAGGTGAGAGCGATGCAATATACGATAAATGGACACACACGATGACACTCGAGTGCAAAAGGCAAAAGGCGAGATGCGTGATGCAAAGGTAGTGTGCACGAGTGAAGGTGAAAGACTAGCGAGCGAGTGAGATGAAAGAGAGATGAGGCTAGACGAGTGTTAATACCCCAACTAAGGTTGGCTGATGCTAAGGTGAAGGCGGACAACTAATGCGCACAACTTTAGATAGTCACTGCAAACAACAAGTAAAATTCCCTAGTATCTAAGGACACAGAGAAAGTGGGCAGAAAATCGACCCAGAAAATAGAGTAGAGGGATGGTATATGTAAAACAACTAAACACCGCTAGGCGTGCAGGTCCGATGTAGCGAGCTGAGTAAGCTAAATATAGTACGCAAAGTAGGCAATAGGGTCTCGGCTGCGCACGTAGCACTAAGCTGAGTATTAGCAATGGAAAACAATTAGTCAAAATTGGAATATAGTGAGAGAACACACCAATGAACATCTAAGGACATGGGGAGGATGGATGAATGGGTATGTGGATGATGCGAGGGTGGACATGTGGTGCACGCGGGATGTGAGTGGCTGTGCATGGAATCTGCAAAATAAAATTATAGTGCACTACTGCGCAAGATGTATCCTTTGGATCAGAGCTGGAGTTTGTTAGGAAGATGGGAGAATTTGAGGAGAGTGTCTGTGGAGACATGAGTCTCTACAGCATTAATTACATGACTGTTATTTAAGACGATGCCTGCAGGTGAGTGAATGAGCATGCAAAAGCCTATGGGTAGTATCAGAATATGTGATTGTATCAGGAATAAAGAACTTACATTTAAAAATATGCTTGAAGTCGAAATCAAGCATCACCTCAGCATCACCTGTCATGGTGTTCAGACCAGGCATGTTGCTAAGTATGCTATATAACTGTGATTCCAGTGATAATGGTTTCTTGAGAAAAATTTTGTGTCCTGCAGCATGGCATGTAGCATCACCATCAGTTGCAAAGGACCTCACTGGTCCAACAGATGCAGCTGCTCCAGTTGCAACCTAGCATTTAATTGCACGAACCAATACACCCTCCATATCAGCCGCATCTTCAGTCTTACAAGTGGGTGCTGCTAAAATGGGGTAAAGTTCATCCTCCCCAAAGCACACGGCTCCAATAACTGTAAGCTCCTTCCCAAGGTGGACTTTGCCATTGTGAATTTTCTGTGCAATTGTGATGGCAGACTTGTATGTGCAAATAACAGGGTCAATGAGGTGGGAATGCTTCCAGCAAATGCCAGCAATCTTGTTGTATTTACTGAAGTGGACAGCCATTTCTTCCAGAGCTATTTCATCAGCCATAAGACTAACATCACGAAGTGTGGAGAACTTTGGAGTCAATGTTTTCATTGAGCTGCTCATTGCAGATAGGATCAATGGTTGGGATAAGCTTAGTGAAAGTAGACTTGATATGCAGAGTGCGGTGTAATGATGGTCGCAGCACTGGGCTCAGAACCACAGTTTTTCATATTCACATCAACACCCAAAACATACGTGCACATGTCCGACACAATTCCGCACATGTCCAAGCCACTCCGCATTGGACCTTCGGACATTGCATCAGCCAATCGCACTTTGTGTGCACTTGTCCATCCCATGTCCTGTCTATCCAAACTAGCCTCACTAGGTGCGTAGTTATTCCTGTGCATGTTTTCTGACATTCGGACTGCATTATTACATGTCCACAGCACCTCATGTCTTATTACATAGGACATTGGACCCAAAATATATTGCTACTATCTTTGCCTGTAGTATTCCAGATTTCCACATACTTACTTAAATACTCTGTAGTGTCCCGTAGCAATTATCATCTAGTAGTTAGGAGCAGTTTCCCGACTCTGCAGATCACCCAGAATATTCTCGTAGTTCTTAGTTACATTGTGAAATATTATCCATTCATTCATTGTCACAAACCTGCCATTCATTATACTCGTGATACCACTCACAACCCGACACTCGTTACATAGTTTCTGACCTATATTTGTGAAGTCCGAAAGTCTGAAATCTCGGACATCGCACTTTGGCTTTGGACATCAGATAAGTACCCTCAGACATCATTGGCTTCGGACATCGTTTCGCAGCATCGGACATTTTGTTATTTGCATTACTGACACATTTTACTACTAATACCAATTAGCAATCCCTTTAGGATCGAATGCACTTGCCTTGCAAGTATAGCTGACTAGGTAGTACAATTTCTGCTGAGCCCAGCAGAGATTTACTCTTTACAGCAGATAGATAGGAGACAAAGGCATTGATTAAGAGCAAAGAGAAGCTGATGTCCTCTGAGTCGAAAAACCAATGTTATGATGTCCAGGTCACTGGCTCCATAGCCTTGCAGACAATATGCTTCCTTGAGGGCATCTTCAAGCTTATTGACTATCTCCCAGACACTGGCACCATTGCACAATACAACATTAATGATTTGCTGGAGCCAAGGGATGTCTTGCTCAGAAATGGCCATGAGAAGATGATGGTAGTCAAGTTGGGTCAGCATGCTCATGCGCTGACACAATTCATTTAGTCCATAGCTATAGCTTGCTTGGGTGTGATGTCGACAAGGAAAGGTAATGAGTCTGGACCTTCATAGTATTGTTCCCAAGGAAAAACCATTGTGAATGGCTGAAGGTCATCAGGCCAGACAACAGTAAGACCAGCGCAATCATGACCAGGAGGAGGAGCAAGCAATGCACTGGAAATTTAAGTCAACTTGTTCACATGACAACTCAATCCAACTCAAGTAACTCAACTCAACTCCAACTTGTCCATGTGGCAACTTACATAATCTACCAACTGACATTGGTGAGTAAACTCTCTTCATGCATATATTCACTGCATGGTGAATGTCTGTATTCTGGCCAGTCTGGGTGACATTATGACTTATTTGACCATTATTATCACCTTTCTGCGTACCTCGATGATCATGTACATAGATGGAGAACGTTATAGCTTTGTCCCCGTGCCATGAGCAGGATCACAAGCCAGATGTCTCATACTATTACTATTGACACCTTATGGGGGGAGTGCACATGAGCAAATATGCTTGAATCATATCATAACATTAAAAATATATTAAGCTACTATTGAGATTTACTGATACGACTAGTCTGAATTGAAAAGGGCATTGTTCCGTTGCGCCCTCTGCATAGCAAGAGTATTTACGGACATCTTAGCCATCGCCACATGGCTGAGTTCCACGCAATGGCTAGTTCCAAAAACCTTCCTGGATAACACAAATAAATTGACGTATCTGTATTGTATACAACATACCTAGTCCACCATTTTAGGAGACAGTCAATATTGTGTTGCGTGATTCGACCAGGGGCTCTTTCAAAAAAGTCCACAACATTGTACCAGAACTGGACATAGTCAAAGTCATTGTCCATTGAGCACCATGAGGTTACTGATGATAATGCAAATTGTAACTATGACAGATTATTAATGCCAATGAGTAGAGAAAAAAAAATCTGCTTACTTGACATGCTACATAAGTGATTGACCGAGGTGAGACTTTATGCATCTTAATTATTTGTGTGACATGGGTATTCACCTTCTTGCCTGACATACCTTTCTCAGAGTGTCTGTTGTTTTCAATGACATTGGTGCCATCGCCATCACCAGCCACTTCCTTTGCAGAGGAGGAAGAGGTAAATATGGCTTTGAAGGCCTGCCAATCAAAAATGAGCCTAGTTGAGATATGTAGATATGACGAACCTGAATCAAAAGTCTGCTTTTAAATAGACCATCCTCCAGATTATTTAGATCAGCAGTATATTCTTGTGGTTAACTGGGGGATTTGGCTCGAGTTCCCGATTGACCCAGTCGGCAATGAGACTCTTGAGCTTGGAGGTATCATCTCCTCAGGCACTGTCCGCTCCCTGCCTAATCTGAGCAAAAATTCAGCAAAAAAACAAATCTTAAAACTAAATGTGCGCATCTTTTTTAACATATACATATAGTCATTGTGCTCCATTTCTGTAGTCTTTTGGTGAAACCAGGGGAGCGTGTTGTTGAGGGCTATATATCACATTTGCAAGCAATCTTGCCTATGTTAATACAGCTCATAAATAGCACCCATGAGACAGGTGAGAAACACCTACTCAGGAGTCACCTCATCATTGTTACTGTTGCACCTCCTATTGTTCTCATTAATCAGGTCTTCGATAGTATCATAGAGGGTATCAACTCTTCTGATAGCTCTTCCTTTTGAGACATAGTAGTTGGTCTCCCTGAAGACAGTGAGCACTGGGTGGATGTCACCATCGGTGGTATGCATACCTTTGCTTTGCCGCCTTCTCCGACTCAAGTAATTGCAGCTTCTCCTTTAATTGAGCAATCTTCTGCCTCTGACAAGTGCTCTCAGATGTGGCCACTGCTAGTGACGATGCTGCTGGAGGTTGTGGGCTTTCCGCTGCCTGGGACGATGTTGAAGCATGTGAACCATCCTCCACTTGATACATGAGCAACAGCAGGCCTATAGGGAGATGACACGAGTTGGAAATGAGGTGTAGAGCTTCTGCTTCATTTAATAGTCATTGGTAAAGTCAGCTGCCTAAACGGATAAGGGAAAGTCTTATTCACTGTTAAGTTGATATCCAAGTTCATACATTTAAAATGTATATCCAGGGTGAACATAGTGCGTTGATGTTAATATTGATTGAACACTGAAAATGGCATGCACAACAAATATGACATTTTGGAGTCCCTTTTGAGTGGCCGCATCAGTCTAAAATAGTGCAAGGAACATACAAATTGCCCAGTCTTTATTGCCTGTATGGGAAATGATTTTGATAACAGCTTGAAGGGAAGAAAACAATGTGTGTTAATTGATCAATTAAATGTATATCATATGTGTGGAACACAACAAATGTATAAGTGTGAAAATCCAAGAACCAACACAGCCACTCAGCTTTAGTGTCACCCCCGCAGAATAGACCACAAGCGGGCCTCTAAGACAGGTCCAGGAATTTTACATAAACTTCGCAACTACACAATACAGTGAAACAAAAAAAACACAACACAACAAAGGTCTGAATACTACATACTACCATGCCTGATACTCTAAAAGGCCAGAAGTGATAAGAGTAGATCATGAATGAAGGACAGCAGTCCACAAAACTCCACCTTCCCATTGCCAACCAATGAGGATATCTAATCTTTCATGCTTTGATGGCATTTTCAAGCAAGCCATCGCTTGAACATCACCATATAATCCAATTACACATTACTGCAGAAAGGGCAAAGATATTCTTGAGGGCAACTTCCCAGTCAGGTGCATTGAGGGATATATTGATAATACCCTTGATCAACCAGTATGTGCACTGCAATGCCAACAACACCATCGTTACCAAATGGTATGCAAACCGACTGGAGTTGCCCATCGTTCATGTCTCTCTGAATTGAATATGAAATATGAGTGGAGTAATATTGAGATACATGCTTACCTGAACAATTGCATTGAGGTAATCATAATTTGTCAGCAACACTGACACATCCAATTTGTGTAATGATACAATTTTGTTCATGTTCCTGAATAGAACTGGGAGGAATAGGTTATAGGCTCCAACTACCAACCCTTGAGCACAACTTAGGAGTCCCTGTGAATCTTTTTGACCAACCCTTTTAGTCGTACAAGAGTGCATTGACCTTCTTGCCTTGTTTTCCACACTTTAAGTTCTGCTGCTATGTTCATCATGAGTCTCAGAATGAATGCGAGGAAGATAAATGAATACCTTGATCCTGGTACTTTTTGATCACCTTTTTAAGCGCCTTATCAGCCAATGTATCAATAGTATTTGTGGCAGGATATAAGGAATTCTTGATCAGCAACGAGATCATCACAGATGTGGTGTGCTCCTTCAAGTTGTCAAGCAATAAATATTCAATCTGCAGTGTTGATTTCACTCAACTTAGTTAGTACTGTGAGTAAACCCCTCAATGTTGGCAGTAGTCAAAGAATAATGTATAAGTCTAGCCTTTGTCAAGCATCTTTTGTGAAGAAGAAGGTCCACTTTGGGTGGACTGAGCCAGGATATTTCGCTAATGAGGTGGATGCAATGGCACTATAACATTGTATGGCTCAGTATCACATGTGCTTACTTCCTTTTTTCTATGTACAATGCAAAATCAGCAGAGACCTTTTTGTCAAAGTGTTCAAGGTACAATATGACCTTGCATTTGTATTGCTAGGAGTGATGGAACATGGTCTTCGCTTCAATGTCTGTGGCATCTGTAGTTTTAAGTCATCCTACCTACCTAATTCCTATCTACCTGATTATACTAGTTCATAGTGCACCAATTTCAGCGATTGATTTAACTATTTCTGGCCCATGGTTAGGTTGCACATGGGCAGAGAAGCAGTTGGTTAATCAACATTTTAGATCAAATGCTACAAATCAGGATGTGTTACTTATTCATGTTTTGCGCATCTGTGCTTTGTCTTGTCTCCCCACCTCCTGCCCCTTCATGTCCACTAATTCTGTTCCAGGTAGCAATTGTATGATTCCAACATATACTTTGGCAAGTAAGTGTTTTTCTAAAGAATTTTGTATTGTAGTTGATTAGATCTTTTATCAGTGTTCCTAGTCATCAAGATTGTGCATCTGGACTTTTTGAAAGCATGATATGTTTTTGTCCACATTCATGATACCATATCCTTGGACCATCGAGACTTGAATACACCCACACTGCTTTGTTTGGGATGGATACACACATGGGCGGAGGAAAGAATTCTCCAATGTGGAGTAATATCATAGAAAATGCAGTGTGAAAGAAGCAGTCAGTCAACTGATGCCTTAGATCAAATGATACCAATTGCTCATTCATGCTTTGTCTCTTTTCTCCACCTCCTATCCTATCATGTCTACTAATCCTGGCATTCCTGGTAGATATTGTGTGTGCGGTGATGATTGTGCTGCATATACACCAGGTGCACCATTGGACTCAGAGGTACGCCTTGTGTTTGATGTTGATTTTTACTCATCAGTTTTACAGCTGGACTGCTACTGCAATCATGGACATAGCCAAAACACATGCACCCTGCTGTACATTTCCCTCCTCAAAGAGGTCTACAAATGAATTGCATATCATATCTAGGTTACCAGACAGTGCAAAATTTACCTGTAAGTTTCTACCTTGAATTGATGCTTGGCAACATACTAATTTCAGATGATAGATAACAAATTTTTGTTAGCCCTGTGGAGGATGTTCACTTAGCTATAATGCTCATAGTCCACTCATTTCAACATCACCCACTACAGTATCAAGTACTTCATTCAGGCCACCACCTCATACCGCTCCTTCTTTTCTACCTGTTGCCAAGTCACAGGTACTACCACAGGAGCACTCAGGCATTTGAAACTTGGAGAACTTCTTTGCAAACTTACCACGACATTCTATTCCCTCATATACCAACACATCCTCAGAAACCACCACAATGTCTTTGGTAACTGGTTACACTCCATCACACATCACTCAAACAGCCTTTGGGGTACTGATATCTGGAGTTTCCATGCCCATGTATAATGCCTATGGCTGAACCAGGGGCACTGGTATCATGTGCCCTGCACGGCCAAGGGTCCCAGGGAGTGGTGTGACTTTGAAGGTTGTGATAGTTCTTTTACCCAAGGATGTAGGTCTATAAAAAAAAATTCTGCATGGAGTATATGCTAACTGTGTGTGCAGCTCTCAAATGTCTGTAATGAAGATGCTCCAGATTTCATGGACGAAGATTTTCTCTCAGTGACACGGATGTGTACAGGCGAAGACCTTGCTTCAGATCTTTGTTTTCTCTCTAGATATGGCCTCACAAAGAAGCTTACCCTTTAGTGCTAAAATGCTGATGGCTATGTCCTGACCAACATGATAAAAGCAGTTACAGATATCACCATCGACACCAATATTTGTTTCCCATCATATACCCCTGATCCCCTAGATCTTGCTCCAGATGAACTCAATCAAGATGTTCGCACAGATTTTCACAATCTTCCCTTCCAATTTATTGTCCCTGGGTATTCCAATGCCCATCAGGGTCAACAATACCTACATGTCAATCATTCATTTTTGTTCCAGGAGCTTCGATTTTCTACCTTCCAGAAGAAATGTGAGAGAGTTTGAGCGCTAGACAATCACTCCACTGGACTATTATTTCTTTGTATGTTCTGGACATTTGCTCACTTAGTTGGAAGCGCTAAATATATTCAACAGGCCCAAAAGGTGGACCTCTCATTGGACCGGTGGAACCCAAGTCCCCTCACCAACATTTCTGCTTTGTCAACCACATCATGGGCCATCTAGTACAGAGCTTTAATAACACTCCGTCTATACCTGGACATTTCTTCACTGTCCCATGCAAGACTAGATGTCCAGAAGATGCACCTACCCCTCCAACGTCTTCGATACTATCAACCTCAACCTCATCCTCTTTATTGATGATGGCGTCCTCTGGCTCTGGTGCTAGTCTGTCCTCATTTACTAGTGCTGTTCCTCAATATCATAATAGTAAACACTCTGCATCACCTTCAACTGGAATTATTATGTTGTCAGGAAATGCACTGGCTGGTCGAGTTCCTTGGTATCTGAGTAGAGACTGTTCTGTATCACCCCGTCCATTACAGCAGGGACGACACCAAAGGACCCCTTCCCCATCATCTGAAAGTCTGATTCTACAGTGTGCTCCTGCATCTGCCTCCAATATCCATTTGCAGCCAACATTGTCACCCATCTCACCGACTCTCCACCTCCTACCTGATGTCATGCCTGATAGGTTATCAGGATCAGGTAGAACTCTTTGACCATTTCCATTGAGACAATCTTATAATGAGTCAGCCACCCCCCTAATCTCTTTCTGTGCAGGGAATATTCATGATCTCTTCGATCTATCACAGGCCATTCACTCCTCTGCTGACCAGGCCTATTCTGATTCTACCCTGTGCATAGAGGCTAATACTATAACCAATGCAGCCAATGGCATGATTAATGTCTTCCAACATTACTACATGTGGCTCAGTAAAGGCAATGCTTTTGACTCAGATGCATTAAATTTTACCAATCCTGACCTGCATGACACTTTTTCTATCTACCGATGGGAGAGCCTGGTGAAGCATGATCTTACTGTCGGTGACATGAAGTCCATATTTTCAATCCCTGTATGGCATTTTCAAGCATAAGTAATATATTTCCTTCATGAGATACATCACGTTTACTGACTCCTTGCATTGCTAGTGGTCATTGTAATGCAACTGACAGTTTTGGTAATGGTGTCATGCGACAAGTAATTCACACCGCCCTTTGGAAAATTGTTTCCTGGACATCCGATGATGGTAATAAAGATAATCTGGCACTTGTGGAAGGTGATGTCTGTATCGAACTTGATGATGACTTTTGGGCTCTCAAGCTATCACAGTTCCCCTCTTCCAAACAATTTTTGACATTGGCTGTCTCTGTGCCTTGCACATTCTTCAGGTAAACAATGGGCTGCATCCAATCTCACCAGCTCTTTTGAGCTTTATCATAAATAATGTCTCATCTCTAACAACTTCAGACTCCAACTATTTGTGGCTTGGTGACAATCTATTCCCTACCTTGGCCAACATCATCAAGTCTCTGCCCACCAAGGACGAGAATGTGTCCAACCTTGCCATAGATGGGGTGAACTGAGATCATATCACAAGAATTTGTTAATCTCGTCTGATGACCAACATAAGTGCTACTGTTCTTGTATGTCAAATTTTCATGATTTATTTCAAAACATAGTTTGGTGAGATTCGAGGCACCCCATCAGAACACTGGCCAATAGTACGCCAGGACCTGATTTGGGCCACCTTGCTTGGTTACTCCCACGATGAGCTTGTCAACTCTCAAGAGTACCAGATATTTAAAGATGGATTTGACCTCTATGTGATGTCATCCATCCCTTCACTCTCTGAGATACATTGACTGCTCATTTCTGTCCATCTCAAACTAGTAAAAACCTCCATAAGATTTTACAGCCAAGTTTCAGTAGCATCCTTCAATCAATCTATGATCGCCATCCTACTGCTGATGTCTTGGAGAATATGCTATGCTTTGAGGTTGATGGTGATGACAACTTTTGTGCTTGATTGTCCCCCTATCTTCATACATTCAAATGTGCTATCTTGAAGTATTTGAACAGCACAGGCCACCTCCACCACTCCATATTTGAAGGTCTACATGATGATGAAGCATCGCCTCAGCCTGTCTCTAGTGTCTTTAGCTTAAGGGAAAAATCTTGCATTCACAGGGGTGCAGCCACTCATTGATGTTCTGTAGTGTCTCATTGAGGGGGTGTGTTGTAAATGCAACATCGCCACTCAGTTTGTCTATGTTTTCTCGGACTCTTACATAACTTTACCTTATAATCTTTCTGTCAATATTTGCTCGTACCTCAGCAGTTCTTTCCTGAACTCTGAGGTATGTCTCATGTTCATCTTGCATGCTGGTCTCATCTCACTCAATTTCATCTCTAGTCTTTGTCTTTGGTTTCTATTCTATAAAAGAAAGATGGAGCTCAAATGTGTCAAGACATATCAAGAAGTAGAGCCATGTGATGAGAAGTGTCATCTACATGGTACGAAGTGGCAAGGTTGTACTGATACCAAAAAGCAATGTTAATCATTCCAGAAGCAGAAACCGACTCTCCAGCACAACTCTCCAACAACAATGTCTGAAGATCTTTCACTGCTTACCTCACCTATAAGGCATCTCCACCAATTGCATGCTTTAGGGTGCAGGTCGTAACCCATCAAACTTCTTTAACACCTTAAGCAACTTAAGCAAGAAGTTGGATGTTTTGCATCCAGCTTCGTCTAGCTCTGAAGCCACTGATATGTTCTCATAGGTTGGGCTGGACTGAGCTTTAGCTCGGGGTGGTGTTGGGAATAAGAGATGTCGGGTAGATTTTCCTCTGGTTTCTCCACATGATACAAAACCTGGAGGATTTGCCTCCGGTCTAACTTTTGAGTTTTCTTTTTCCTTTTGGACTCTTATTACCTTTTTGCACCTTCAACACCTTGGGCAGTCCTCACTGTTGTTGCTATAGCTCATACTGCTTCTTTCCGCCTCGGACTTCTTGACACCTGGTACTTATATCCCACCTTGTACCGCAGTTCACCTCAGTGTTGCTTTCACATTCGCTGAGACTTACTTTGTATCTAGCTCCCTACAGGTTATGAGCCCTGAGCTCTAATCAGCTCAGACCCAGGAAGCAGATACCTTATGTATGATTATTCACACCACTCCTTCTGTGACCCGTTGTCTCATCAAAATGGGCAAATACTATCACATTATCGAACTTTCTGGTGCAGACGAGCATCCCACCTGGCACCAAGCAGTCATTTTGGCTCTTCAAGGCAATGGACTATGGAGTCACTGTAGTCCTGGGACTGACCCAAACAACTTCACAGAATTTGCCTCAGCCATGCCCACTCCAGCAGTTGCTGGATCTCCGACTGCTACAGAAAAACAGAGTATGATCGACTGGAGTAAGGTGGATGCACAGGTGAAAGGTATTATATGCAGGAAGCTCTCTGCAGTCGTTCAAGGCCTTCTCACTGAAACATGGACTGCCAGGGAACAATGGAACACCTTTGCGACTCACTTCAGATACCTTGACATCACATCTCAATTTGAGCTTCGCGCGCAGCTCTTCGCAGAAAAACTCAAAGACCCTGACGATCCACCTCGCTATATCAGTGCATTTGAAACCACAAAACATTGATTTGCAGAAATGGGTGTTGCAGTCACCGAAGATGAAATGGTCTTCCTCCTGCTCCACAGCCTTCCACCATCTCCTGAGTGGATCATCTTTAAATGGATGACCTTGAATCTCTACAGTACTCCCTTAATGTCCTCTACTCCATCTACCTCTTCCAAGATGACTTTTGCAGCCATTGTGAGGGCTTTCTCTGAGGAAGCCAATCGGTTGCATGGGGAACTCAAACTCAATGGTCCAGGCTTGGAATATGCAAACACCACATCTTTCAAACCTCTTGAAGGGAAGACCAACCCAAAAACCGGCATCCGCATCCACAAGTCCAACAACAAGGGGGTGAACTGCGACAATCCTATCTGTGTTGGCCTACCACAATCCATGACACACAACCGTGAACACTGTTTCCAGCCTGGTGGAGGGTCAGAGGGTCAAGGGGGTGGCAGGGCTAGGGAGAAGAGAGCAAAAAAGCATGATGTTGCAGCCACTGCGACTGGTAATAATACTACTCCTCCCGCCGCAGCTCCTCCTTCTGACGTTAGTGCTGTCACCAATGAGTTCAAGTACCTGGCATGCGCGATCATTGAGGACCCCTCACCTGAGTAATTCAAATCAATCCCTTCCTTTGATGATATCGCTTGCATTGCCCAGCAAATGCTCTCAACCATCTTAGACTCAGGAACCACCTCGAATCTCACCATGGATCACAGCCTCTTCTGGACCTACTCTGAGAGCTCCTCAGTGACTGTAAAATGGCCAATCATGGCAAACTCCCAATGTCTGGTCGAGGCAACTGCATTGCAGACTTAGTGCTTGGTGGACAAACCTACCAAGCAACCTTCACAGACTGCTTGCACGCTCCCGGTGCTATGATCAACCTTCTTTCTGTTGAGCACATGCTCTGGAAGAAGTGGTCATGCAACTTCAAGCACTCACCCACCCATTGTCAACTCAAGTACCATGGAGAACTCCTGGGGGAAATACTCATGATGGGTAATCTTTTCTTCATCGATTTGAAGTTTGTTCGCCCCGCCACTCCACTATCAGGAGATCATGTCCCTCGAGAACTCTCTGTGTTTGTCCGCACACCATTATCCTGGGACTTATGGCATGCTCACATGGGTCACCCTGGAGGTGACACCATAAAACGCCTCCCATCTGCCACTATAGGTGTCAAAGTGGAATTGTCCGTGCCACTTCAATGATGCGAACCATGTATCATGGCCAAGCATCCCCGCAAGCTGTATCCACCTTCTGAAAACCCTCGAGCCTCTCACATGCTTGACCTTATTCACTCTGACTTATGCAGTCCTTTTCCTGTTATGACGCCTCATGGGAAGTTGCATTTTATTGTCTTCCTAGATGACCACACCAATTTACTCAATCTCCAACTTCTGGCTACAAAGGACCAAGCTCTAAATGTGTGGCAAATTGTCAAAACACAATGGGAGAATCACTCTGGGTGCACAGTGAAGATTTTTAGGTCAGACAACAGAGGGGAATTTCTCAGTGCAGATTTCACGCAGGCACTGCAATTGGCAGGAATAGAGCATCAGCTCTCCATGCCATATGTGCACCAGCAGAACGGTAAAGCCGAGCGAGCCATCCAAACCATAGAAGGACGCCTTTTCACTATGTTAGAGGCTGCCAGTCTGCCTGCTAATCTTTGGGGTGAGGCAGCCTTGACAGCCTGCTTTCTCTGGAATTGCAGTACTTTCAGCATCCTCCCTCCAAACATCACACCCTTCAAGCTCACTAATGGCCAGCAGCCTGACCTTCAGCACATACATGTTTTTGGGTCTTCCTGCTTTGCCTGAATTCCAGCTGAGCTTCAGGTCAAGCTCGGTCTTTTTTCATGCCAAGCTGTCTTCCTTGGTTACCCCGAGGGGACCAGAGGTTATTGCCTGCACGACAAGGTCACTGGGGCATTCTTTGTGGCAAGAGATGTCATTTTCAATGAGCGGCTCCCTTCGATTACTCACCAGCATGATTTGGAGTCCAAGGATGAATCAACCCTCCCTTCTCATGCCGTTCCTCCACCTACCACCATCACTGCTCCTCCTTTGCAGACCCCCTCATTGCCTCCTGCCACACATCCTGTTCCTGTTTGCTGTTTGACACGTGTCACTATACCCACTGCTCGGGGTGAAGCATGGGCTGCTGACATGACAGCAGCAAAGGCTCACCTGCAGGTCCTTTGTGAGTCTCACACAGCACGTATCCAGGCCACTACTTCAACAGGTGAGGCCAAACCGGAGGTTGAAGAGAACCTGGGAGAAATCAAGTTGTACACCAATGTCCCGGAAGCCTATGCCAGCATCACAGGTCAAAGAACAGGCGCATGTCACCATTTGTAGCGACCGAAAGCATAATCCCAATGACCTTACCTATGACATGAAGATCCCTCCAGCTACCTATGATGAAGCCATGCTGTGCAGC